GTGCCCAGCCATCTCTAAGAGCTCCCCTGCTTCCCATCCTCCACCACTGCCTCCTGATACTTCCAGCACTATTTGGTCTGGCGTCTGGTACTGTCCAGTTCAGCCTTTGGGCTGCTGCTGCTGCTGGCTGCTGTGGTGCCACTTCAGCAGCACCACCCGTGGTCACCTCCAGCTGTCACTGTGACTGGGATTCTGGTCCACCACTTACTGTCGTGCCACAAGCTAGCTCCAGGCTCTCATCAAAGGGATAATTCCATCTCAGGAGCAGCCTTTGGTTTGGAACTGGGCACTGTGAACACTATCTGGGTTAGGACAGCTGACCATTTGTGGCCTAAAAACTTTTTCCTGTTTTATAAACCCTGTTGTTGCTGCACCCTGAGCTTGAGTGGTGTCTTGCAATTGTGAGTGCACAGGTGAGAACCCACGGACAATGACCTAAGCCTTTAGACTATTTTAGGAGGTAAGAGTTGGCTATGGGGGCTCACATCTGTGCCATATTATCTCTAGCTGGATCCTCAAATTCCCATGGGCCCTTGCAAGAGCCATAGAGAAGTTCTCCTGTCTCATAGTCCTGATGTGCCTCTGAAGGTATTCTGCTTTTTGAAGACCATTCAGCCAGAGGGTGTGTGCTGATATTCTGGGATTTGCCCTATGTGAGATCACTGAGGCACTTTTAGTTGCTTAAATTTCTTATTTTTTTTTTAAAAAGATTTATTTATTTATTTATACAAGCACTGGGTACAGTCAGAAGCGCGGGAGGGTGAGAGAATTCACCAGACCCAGAGCAGGGAACAGAACAGGCAGACTGATGAAGAAACACACTGCTGAGGGGAGCAGCGGGTGAGGCAGGAGAGGTCTGTTGCACCATGTGGGACCCTTGCCGACAGCTGGGGATCGAACTGGAGCAGCAGAGGCTGCGGGCAGATTCGCAGCCCAACGCTCAACCACTGCACCACCAGGGGAGGCCGTTACTTAAATTTCTTTTTCCACTAATAATCATTTTATCTTTGACTCCAATGTTAAAGGAGTATAAAACAGTATAGCCACCAATCAGCTGTCTTTCTTTTCAGCATCAATATAGGCATGCTATTTTTTCAGTAATGAATGCAACTTTTTGGAAAGGTCCTTGATCTGGTAGCTCGTGAGCGATAAAAATATTTATATTCTCAAAACTGGCTGTGACTTCAATATAAAATTTCCATCTTCATTCAAATACTTCATATAACCTGCTTTGTATCAGAATGAGTCAAATATAGTCTCCCTCCCACACTGTGATGTCATCTCCCAGAGTTCAGGGAGCTTGTCTCGGACAGCTTCCTACCCTCCTACCCAGGGCCTAGCATAGATTCTGTAAGCTCCCCTTAAACATTTGAATTAAACTTAAGCAAAACTGAATTTTACTGTTTAGGAGTTACCTTTAAACCCATATTATGGTTAAACAATTAACATGCATTTTGGTTAATTTGCTTATTTTCCTTACTTACCCATTTAAAAAAATAATTGAAACATCGCAAGTAAAATTGCCAGCCATCCTTGTTTCAACAAAGCTGCCTGAACACTCTATGCTGCCATCTAGCGGCCATCTAGTCAGTTCCCACTTGAGGAAGGGCCAGGCACTGTCTTTGGAGTTGTGTCACAAGTGGCTGCTAGTAGCAGAGGGGATGAGAAGGGGACATGATGAAGCATATGTGCTTCCTCTCATTAGTCACGTGCTGCTGAGGGTAGCTGCCATCTTGCACTGGCCATTATAACAGAGCCAGCCTTCTTCGTGGTTTTGTGAACAGGCAGGTAATGATAAACTCTTGCTGGCTGTCTTGGCTGTGGTTCTGTTTGTGGACTAATAATTTAGGCTGTGGGATATTTCCATCAGAACATTGCAGCTTTTAGAGGAGAAAAGTCATAGTTTAATTAGCATAAATGCCACACACACACACACACACACACACACCCTGCATTGTTTTATATTCTTGATGATTCCTACTCCTCTCCTGCCCCCTTCACTGCCCGTGGTCCAAGACAGTGTCCCTAATCAAAATTACACACTTGTTCCTGAGGGATGGGAGCCGTGGTCTCCCTGGCTCAGCCTCTTAAGTTGATTACCCGGACTTTTCATTCAAGTGGACAGGCCGTCAAAGCCTGAGACCCCTGCAACAGCTAGATCCCTCTTGCTTTCAACTTCCTTTTATTTCTTCATTTCCCCTCTCTTCTCTTGCCTTGACAGTTCTCTGTGCAAACCTGTGAATTTCTTCGATCCCTTTTACTTTCCTCAAAAACACACAAGCAGACACACGCAGATGTGCACAGTTGAGGGCTCTGGCCTAGATCCCTGCTGGAAAGAGGTTCTTGAGGGAATCAGGGAAAACCCACTGAAGTCTTGCATTGAGAGACTCCCCAGGGCTGGCTGCACAAGTAGGCTGAGTTGGCTTTGGGCCATCTGGTATGAGTCGAAGGATGAGGCAAGTCTCTCTATCACCATCCTACAATCTCTCTCCAGTTTGTCCCTGAAACGCCCATATAAATAGAAAACCATAAGAAATGAGGACTCGTGTCTGGAAGCTTGTCAGGACAATGGGCCAGTGCTGTTGCGCTAAATCTGGAATGAATGGTCACTCAGAAATAGGATTCACCTCATATTCTAGCTGAGGTCATGGCAGGAACTGCTTGCTTGGAAACTGTTGAGAAGGATTCTGGGACACTAGTTGGGAGCGGGGAGGAGTCCAGGGGCATATTAGGAAGGTCTCAGATAGCTATGGGATAGGCTAGTGTGGAGCATTACAATATCGGCTTCACACACAAATGGTTTCTTGGAGGGTTAACAGTGAAATGGTATTAGCTGTTTACATCCTCATGTGAATTAAATTATTATATTTGCTGCTCATCTCCCCTCAAGGTGCTAAGGGAATGGAGTTACAGGATTGGGGAAGGTTTTCTTTTATGGCTTATTCTTTTTTTTCTTACCAAGGTAAAATCTACTTAACAGAAAATTCACCATTTTAACAATCTTAAGATGCACAAATCAATGGCCTTTAGTACACTCACAAGGTTGCGCGAGTGTCACCATGATACATTTCTAGATTTTTTCATCACCTCAAAAAGAAATCCTGTACCCATTTAACAGTCACTCCTAAGTCTCACCTCACATTAACCCCTGGCAACCACTAATCTGCTTTTTGTCCTATGGATTTTCCTATTCTGCCTATTTTCTATCAGTGCAGCCATACAATATTTGATGTTTGGGGGGGGGGTCTGGCTTCTTTCACTTAGCATAATGTTTTCAAGGTTCATCCATGTTGTAACACGTGTCAGAACTTCATCCCTTCTTGCCATATAACATTTTGTTTATTCATTCATTAATTGATGGATACTTGGGTTGTTTCCACCTTTAGATTATTATGAATATTGCTGTTATGAATATTCACATACAGCTCGTTTGAACACCTATTTTCAGTTCTTTTGGGTGGATGGGTTGGGTTTCCCCCTCCCCCGCTGCTTCACCTTTGGTGACAATGAATCCATTTAAGCTGTGACAGGTGAGTTTTGCGAAGAAGAATAGAGCAGGAGTTTGGGTGTTGCCTGGATGAGGCCAGGGTGGAAAGGGTACGGAACACCTTGGGTATGCTGCGGAGTCCTAAGGCAAAGCGTCTCTGGAAATGGAAGGAGGCAGGGGAGGAGCCACAATAGGATGGTAATGACCTTGAGCTTGGTGGATGGAAGAGGAATGGGGCTTGTCCAGAACTTGCAACATAGCTGCTGATCTGTACCTGTCTTTTATTTTATTTTTTAAAAAGATTTATTTATTTATTTATACAAGCACTGGGTACAGTCAGAAGCGCAGGAGGGTGAGAGGACTCACCAGAGCCAGAGCGGGGAGCAGAACAGGCAGACTGACAAAATACACTGCTGAGGGGAGCAGCGGGCGGCAGGAGAGGTCTGCGCGCCATGTGGGACCCTCGCCTGGTGGCCGGGGATCGACCCGGAGCTGCAGAGGCTGCGGGCAGCTTTGCAACCCAGCGCTCAACCGCTGCGCCACCAGGGGAGGCCCAATTTACCTGTCTTTTATAAGGAAAGGAAAAATGTCTGCTAGAGATGAAAAGGTGGATGAGGAGAATGCTTGAGAAAAGTAAAAATGGTTATGGCTTGGCTGTGTTTTAACAGGGTGTTGTTAATGGATTTTTTTTTGGCAGAAAGAAAAAAAGCTTGTTTAGCTGCCTGTGACTGCACGGTGACAAAACGGGTAGAGCAAGTTTTAGCACAACAAACTGAAGAAGGTGGCCTATGTAATGGTAGGAGTGGCGGTGGTGGTGGTGATGGTGGTGGTGGTGATGGTAGTAAAATAATGCTGCCAGATGTTTCTACAGTGATGGACTGTTTCTAAAGGGTCTACAATCTGTAAGCTCCTCAGCGTGACTAAATCAGGTAGAGCAGGCACGATTCACTGCCATTTGAGAAACAGAAAATGAAGGCATACACCTGGGGATCGTAAGCACGTGCTCAGTTATCGGGGTTTGTTAAATAAGTGAAGTAGAGTCATACCAAGTCAAAGAATGCCAGAGCTGGGATGGTCTTTGAGATTATACAGAAGCTACTCCCCAGCGCAGTTTTGGAGGAGGAGGGTTGGGGCAGAGTGGGACAGTGCTGGGTTTAAGTGTCAGGTCAGCTAGTCAGAGAGTAAAGGACCCACGTTCATAGTCTGTCCTCTGTCCCTATACAGAGTGACATCATAACACCCACTGCGTGTTCTTACCCCACTGGGCCGCAGACTGCTGGAGGGATGGAGCTTGTGTCTGATTCATCTTTGTGTCACCAAGATAGAATACAGTCACTGAAACTTGTTTGGTTCCTGCCCTGTCAAAGCCACTTCATTTCATGACATTATTGTGTCCCACTTGGGCACAACTCCCTTTCTCCAAACTGAGCGTGAACTGGAATTGGATAGATACCCCCCACCCTTGTCCCTCTGCAACCCCCCCCCACCGCCCCTCCCCGGCCAGCACACTCACCTGCACCAGGTCCGGAGTGAGGCGCTTAGCCTGCAGCCATTTCTGGAACCTCCCTGTCTTCCGTAGGATGCGCTCTATGCTGCAGGTCTTCGGGGCTGCTGCCGAGGCACAGATTCTCCTGTCTGAGATCTCATTTTGGTGTTTGCTGATCAGCCTCGAGACCTCCACAAGGCGCCAGGTTTTGGAATCATCTGAGTAATTTGCAGGGTAAGAAGGCAAGTGGTCGGGAGATAGTCGGAGGTGGGAAGCCAGCCAGTTGTCAAACCTAGAAGAATAGCCTTTTAGGATCCCTCTGGGAGCTGGAGGGATGCAGCAGGGGCTAAGCAAGGACTAGACACAGTGCCAGAGCCAGAAGTCAGCAGAGTCCACGCAGGGAGACGGGACAATGTCTAACCGATCCATTTCTCCTTCGACTGGGGTGCTCCAAACCTTTTCTGTGAGAGGACTATTTTTGTTTCTTCAGACATTGGGAAGTGTAGATGTGATGTCAGAAAAAGTGAGGGAGATACACGCCAGACACAAACTTGATCATTTTCATGTAACTGGCAGGAAAGAGCTAACCATCATTTTCTGAACTTCTACTGTATGTAAAGAGAACAGCTTCACGCATGCCGGTATCTTGGATTCTCCTGCTACACCACTCCCACTTTACAACAGTGGAAACTGAGGCTTATTAGAGCTTCAGTACCTTGCCCAAGATCACACAATACTCTGCCAAGCAGGGTTGCAAACTCAAGGCTGTCTGTCAGCAAAACCCATGATCTTTCCCCTTCCCTGAACTGGTTCCAGCCACTGCCCACCCTCTAACCAATGGCTGGGTCTTGGAAGCAGAGTTCTTGAAGAGGCTTCTTGGCCAGCACTGCAGAGACTGTGCCTCTCTGTATCCAACCTCAACAGCCCCATCAATTTTGTTTTCAGTCCAATGATTGAAGTCATCAGTACCAACCAAGTATTAGGGTACAGTGACTGCTAAATGGTCAGCAAATTCCAAGTTATCTGGAATCCAGGAGTTATGCAATTCCACGCAAAGGCCTGGTTGGTCCTTCATCCTCCCCAGGGGAGGAGAACTTAAGTGCTGGCCTATTAGCATCTGCTGATTTCCTAGGCCCAACATTGACTGTTTTCTCTAGCCATCCTTCAACTGTGTGCAAACATTTCTGTGAGGGACGAGTGTTAAATCTGATTTTTGTATGAAAAATTACTAAGAAAAAGTTTATCTTCATCATCATAATTATCATCATAATTTTGGTGATTGTTGGTTACTTTTATTTATTTTATGCATAAAGTAAAATGAGACAATCTCCCAGTGATAAACGCTCCTAACAGTTTGGTGTACAAACCTTTGAATTCTTCTGTATCTGCAAAGTACAAACACATGTTCATGGACATATGCATATATTTGTGTGTCTGTATAAGAAAACATACACATATATGTATGCAAAATCATATATATATAAATCATATGTATATATTTTACAAAGTGGGTTAATTTCAGATATACTCTCTAGATTGCTATTAATGTACACATTCATTGCTATTAATAAGGGTCATATGCAAATGAAAATTGGGATTATAAATTTTATATTTAATTTTAATAAGAATTCCTAAAATTCTTATTATTGGGCATTACTGTGCAACCTTACAATAATGAGTTTGGGAAGAGTTAGCATTATGATTTTCCCCAGACCCTAGTTTATTTTGTTTTCTCACTTACGTGATATAGCTTTACTATAAGAGACTGCAAACTTGTTACAGAATATTTTCTAGCAAAAACAGTCAATGAACACCTTCTATAATCAGGACCATTCCAATTGCAATAGAAGGAGGCAAAAAAAAAATCCTGCTCAAGAACATAATTATTTTTAAAAAAGAAAAACACTGTACACTTGCAAGAAGTGAATTTCAGTGGAAGTTTTAAGAGAACCATGGGAAGAGATTTTCCCTTCTCAGAGGATAAGGAAGAGTCTAAGACCTCAAGGCAGGTCTAGTTGCCTGTTTTCTGCAGCTGCTTTTGCTCATAGGGGTTCAGCCTCCCTGAAGTTCTGTGACTACAGATTAACAAGTAGGTAGTGCTCTTAGATAATGATAAGAGCAACACATGTTTATGAAATACTTGAGCATGCCAGTCACTTTGCTAAACATTTTCTGTTTATTAATTTAGTTACACCTTTTAACAAACCTATGAAGTTAGTACTATTATTAACCACATTTGTGAGGGAACAGAGGTGCAGAGAACTTAAGTGATTTGCCCAAAGTCACATAAGTAGGAATTTCAAGAAGTAATATCCAAGGTTCCAGAGTGTACAGTCTTAGCCACTTTGCCATTATTTATTTCTCTACTACCTGTTTTATGAATGAGTTCTTGGGTATAGATTGGGAACATTATTATGGTTTATAGTGAGCTGAGCCTTTGAAGATTATTTTGTCCATGTCCTCCTACCCATTCATATTTTGAGAAAGAGAAAATTGAAGTCACCTTCTTTGAATATAGAAATTAAGAAAATAACTCCATTTAAAATTGCCTCAAAAAGAATCAATATCTCGGAATTAACATACATAACTAAGGGAGACAACTGCAGATGCTATTAAAGGGCTTAGATCGTGATATAAGAAAATGGAATTGTATCCCATGCTCATGGATGGGGGAGAATCAATATAATCAAAATGACTCTCTTGCCTAAAATGTTGTAGAAATTGGATGCAATTCTCATCAAAATAAATACCAATAATATTTTTCAAATAAATTGAACAAAATTACTGAAATGTATTTGAAACCACAAAAGGCAAAAGTGATCTTGAGAACAAAGGAGAGAAACAAAGGATCATGTTACCTGACTCCAAACTTTACTATAAAGCAAAAGTATTAAAAACAATATGGTAATGGCATAAAAATAGATACATTTAATCTATGGAACAGAATTGAAAGTTCAGAAGTAAATCCACATACATATCCCAATCTATAGTAAAGCAGGTGTGACGATACACAGTGGAAAGGAGATGCTGCTGGGAAAACTGGAAGGCCACTCATAAAAGAATAATTTGATTGCTCTCTAACTCCATATACAAAATAAATTCCAAATGGATGAACGATTTAGATATAAGACTTGCAACAATGAAGTATATAAAAGCAAACATGGCAATATGGTCCATGACATCAATGATGGAGATGTCTTTAGAGATTTAACCCCTATGGCAAGGGAAATAAAAGCAAAAATTAACAATTGGGATTACCTCAAGCTAGAAAACTTTTGTATAGCAAAAATATACATAAGAAGATTAAAGAGATACCCTACTTAATGGGAGAAAATATACAAGATATGACCAACAGGGGTAAATATCCAAGATAAGTAAAAAGGTCTAGGGCCTCCCTGGAGGCCCAAGAGGTTAAGCACCGCACTGTAAAGCTATCTGCAGCCTCTGCAGCATGAGTTCGATCCCCAGCGGCCAGGGAGTTACCCACATGGCGCAGCAGTGCTGCGCCTCTCCTCACTCACCACTGTTTTCTTCAGCCATGTGTTTCAGTCAATCTGCCTGTTCTGCTCCCCAGTCTGTCTCTGGTGAATCCTCTCACCCCCGCACCTCTGGTTTGTAACCCAGTTCTTGTATGTATAAATAAATAAAATAAAAGTTTAAAAATAAATAAATAAATAAAATTTAAAAAAAGGTCTACAATTGAACAGCAGAAAAGCAAACAACCCAATTAATAAATGGGCAGCAGGTGTAAACAGACAATTCACCAAGGAGGATATCCAGGAGGTCAAAAATATATGAAAAAGGGTTCATCATTGTTTCCAGTAAGAGAGATGCAGGTTAAAACCACAATGAGATACCATCTCACATCTATGGGAATGACACATAATAAAAAAGACCCCTGACAACAAGTGCTGGAGAGGATGTGGAGAAAGAGGAACCATATTGTACTGTTGGAGGGAATGTAAATTGTGCTGACATTATGGACAAAGATCTGCATTCATCTCAAAAAACTAAAAAGGGAAATACTGTACAACCCAGTAATCTCACTCTTGGGCATCTATCCAAAGAACATGAAATTATCAACGCAAAAAACCATATACTCTAGAATACTGCAGTACTATTTACAATATGGAAGTAGTCTAAATGCTCATCGTTAGATGACTGGATGAAAAAGATGTGGTATGTATACACTATGGAATACTGTTCAGCGATGAGGAAAGATGAAATGCAGCCATTTACAACAAAATGGAGGGAATTAGGAAATTCTGGATAATAAGCAAGTCACAATGACAAAGGCAAATACTAGATGTTTACATAGCAGAGATTTGATAAAGTAAAATACTTGTAAGAACTAGCATACATTAGTAAATGCAGTGAAGACTCAAGGTTAAGAAGTAAGGGAGCGGGAGAAGAAGGCGAGAGGATAGAAGGGATGGTGGTGGGGGAAGATTAAAAAGAAGAAGAAAAACAAAACAAAAAAAATGGCCAATAAACCTGAAGAAAGGACTGAACTCAGAAGAAATACAAACTAAGAACAGCAGTAATATTAAATATTTGTGAGTGTGCAAGAAGTGACCTGTATAGGTAGGCGCCTCCATTTGGAGACACGTATCAAAAATCTTAACAAATTCGCTATAATTTTTGACCCAGAAATTCCACTTTTAAGAATTTGTCACAGGGGGGCCTCCCTGGTGGCACAGGCAGTTGAGCATTGCACTGTGAAGCTGTCTGCAGCCTCTGCAGTGTGGGTTCGATCCTGGCCTGCCAGGGAGATACCCACATGGTGCAGCAGACCTCTCTTGTCTCATCCGCTGCTCCCCTCAGCAGTGTATTTCGCCAGTCTGCCTGTTCTGTTCCCGGCTCTGTCTCTGGTGAATCCTCTCACCCTCCTGCGCATCTGGCCTGTACCCCGGTTCTTGTATAAAAATAAATAAATCTTTTAAAAAAAATTTTTTTTAGGAGTTACTCACTGATGTGCACAAAAATTTTATGTGCAGAGAGATGTTCAGCACAGCACTGTAATACTAAAACGTGAAAGAAGGTCTAGTTGTTTCACAATAGTGAATTAAAAAAAATGAATCATACGGTTGATTGATGCAATTGAATACTATGAAGCTTTTTAGAAATCAAACAATGCTTTTCCTCCCTGGCTGCCTGAAGATCCACCGCTGTCATGAATGACACAGTAAGGATCTAGAACAGGAAGTTCATGACCAACCGGCTGTTTCCCCAGAAAAACAAATGGTCACTGACGTCCTTCACTCTGGGAAGGCAATGATACCAAGACAGAAA